ATAAAGGTACTCGTATATTTGTCAATTAATCGGACATTCCTAGAGTGGATTTCATTAAACTCTTTTTGACTAAGATCCAAATCGGACGTACTCGTCATCTCTAAGCTTTGTGTGTATTATATTACGAATATTATTCGATTTTCATCATTTGTAATGTATAAGTCAACGGTGGTCCAAAATGATTTAAAAAAAACTCCATTCATTTTACCAGCCCACCCCTCAAGGTGCAAAAAGAACATTTAAGTTATTTTAAAGTCCATACACATAACTAATCTATCTATACTTAATATTATAAAGAAGTAAAGATTGTGAGTTTGTGAGGTTGTCAGTTTGTGAGTTTGTGACGTTGTAGGGGGTAATCTCTGGATCTGTTGAACCGATTTCAATGAAACTTGGTAAGAAGATAGTTTGAGACCTTGGGGAGGTCATAGGATACTTATAAGATTTTTATCCCGAAAATTATCCTTTAAGGGGGTGAAAATTGGGATGAAAGTTTGTATAGGGCAGCAAGCCAGGGACGAACCCGAGCGAAGCGAGGGTGAGTCGCTAGTTTAAAATAAAAGGGATGTTGTACCCTTCAAAAAAAACAAAAATATAAATAAGAACTATAACTGTTTTATATATGTATAAAATGTAAACGAACGAGTGAAACCAAGTTTTAAGCATTACATTTCTCTTCTGCACTTTTAGTAAAATCTTGATGCAAATTCTTGAGCAACCGTAAGCGATGCATTGTATCGTATAGAAACTTTCAATTTACGTTAAAAAAGGCTGTCAGTCTGCCCACAGTGAAGTAATGTAAACAATTTATAACGTCGCTGTTCTGAAAAGAAAAAACACTTTAAGTTTTTATTTGTAAGTGAATATTAAAAAATATTATTTTTCTCCCAATATACATTATTCGTTGTAACAATAGCACTACTTTGTAACTCAGATCTATGTTCATCATTATACGGATAATTATAATAAATAGATTATTAAAATTTAATATAAATTAAATGCAGTTATTATTATTTAAAAAAAAATTAAGTTGGGACGTTAACACACAACACCATCTAGTTCCATGGTATGCTACTAGGCTTGTGTTATGGATACCAGATAGTTGATACACTATACATATATTTATAACTTCTTTTTAAATACATACTTATTATAAATATAAACATCCATGACTGGAGTACAAACATTCATTGCTCATCACACAAATGGTTGCCCCCCAGCGGGACTCGAACCCGCGACCGCTGGAACAGCAAGTAGGGTCACTACAAACTGAGCCAAACGTGTCGTAAATTAATTAATGTTTCCTTTCAGTAAATCTTGATAACTTCAATATTTAAGGTACTTTTCTTCCATGTCCCATCGATTTCTTCCACCCTGTATAATATGAATGTTCATTGATCTTTGTTTTGATTTTTGATTGATGTCTGCTTGATTATACGGATATGAAAAGGTTTTCCACTAACAAAATGTATACTAGTGAAGCCGCGGGCAATAGCTATATTATTATATTCTAATTTGTTTAAATTCTAATGAAATTTTATTCATTTTACTTTCGTTACGTTTATGAAGCCTTTTAAGCACGGTATAAAAATATGAATTTCCGAACGTTATCTAGGAATGCAAGTAAAACAAGGGCTTACAGTTAGTTAAGTGTTAAAGTAATAGTGGACTACAAGAACAAGAGTTTGAGTTAGAACAAGAAGTACGTGGTTTTGTTAGCAAGATAATTAAGTGCAAAAACCGAGGTCGCGACCAGTACAAATTAGTAGAAAGCAACACTTCTCAGCTATTCGCTTCGTTTCAAATTACGCTTAATTTGCACTATTCATGCTATGAATAATTTAGACTTGTAATATTCCAATTAAATATTCGAAAGATTGTGATGCCTTTTTGACCGAACTAATGAAAACTTTTGTACAGATATAACTTACACTATACATAGGTATAAAGTTATACTCGTAGCTACGAGTACTAATTTTAAAACAAAAAATAAATAAATACAGACGAACATAGAACCTCCTCCTTTTCGGAAGTCGGTTAAGAGCGAATCTATACTTAATATTATAAAGAGACATAGTTTGTTTGTTTGAACGCGCTAAACTCAGGAACTACTAATCCGATTTGAAAAATTCTTTTTGCATTCGATAGCCCGTTTATTGAGGAAGACTATAGGCTACATATCATATAGTATATAGTTTATCCATTCCATACAAACCGTTAAATCTTAATAGAGACAAACCTGAGCGAAGCGAAGATATAAAATAACAATAGAAAGTCAACAAAGAATCTACAATAAAGTACATAAAAATGGTTTGAAACACAATTGATCTTCTAATAACTCTTATTATCACAAAATATTTAAAGTTAACTGAAATTGTAATGAAATAGCTTTATTAGGTTTCATAACATTTTTATATTCCATATCAAATATAACTTGAAATCGTTTTCATTAACCACTTGTTGAGTTATTGTGAGAACGCCATCAAATCAAATAAAAACTATAATATTTTGGGTTCTAGCAGAACCCATCAAAGTATTATAGATTTTGTTTCTTAGTATATTTATGTTAAAATCCGGTAACAGTATCTACTAATATTGTAAAGAGTAGAGTTTTTTTGTTTGTTTGTCTGTACCGAGTAAACTACTGGACTGATTAAAATTAAGAACATACGAGTAGTTTGAGACGGGGGGAAGGACATAAGATGGTTTTTATCTCGGAAATCATCCCTTAAAGGAGTGAAAATGGAGATAAAATTTTGTACGGGAAATCAACCTAGGGACAAACCCGAGTGAAACGAGGATGAGTCGCAAGTAGTTTATATGCTACTAGCATTGCTTGCTGCTCTGCCCGCGTTCAGATGATCAAAAATCAAATTCTTAGATTTTACATATTAGTATGGTCTTACATTGCAGTTTTTGTCGAATCTTGCAGTAAAAAGTATTCTTTATGTTGACTCGGATAATCAGCTACCACCATACCAAATTTTATTAAAATCTCTCCAGTGGTTTTTCTGTGATGCGGTAACAGACAGACAGACAAAAATTGTAAGAACTATAGATTCGGCATCTGTATCGATAATAAATAATAATGTTTATTTCAATAAGATTTTCCAAAAAATATTTAATGTACAGAATTGGTTTAGTTACATTTTACTACATAATATAAAACAAAGTCGCTTCCCGCTGTCTGTCCCTATGTATGCTTAGATCTTTAAAACTCCACAACGGATTGTGAAGCGGTTTTTTTAATAGATAAAGTGATTCAAGAGCAAGGTTTTAGTACGTAATTTGTTAAGCTTTTGTATACATTGGCTAAAATATTACGATATAAGTTGAAGGTGTCGGAAAAAAATAAGCCATCTGGGAGCTTTCAACGAAAACGCTGCCTAAACTCTTTGAGATATAACAAAATAATGTATGGTGGAATTGTGTATCTTATATAGGTCTATAGAAAAGTCCGCGATGACATATGTCTATCTTTTAAGGATAACATACTATATCCATTTTAATTCAAAACGTACCTAGGGACGAACCCGAGCGAAGCGAGGGTGAGTCCCTATTTAACAATATTGCTTTGCACTAGTGGCCTTCAATATTATGAATAACCATACCAGTTAACTCCCATTTATCAATTTCATTAATCAAACCAATTTAGCAAGCGTTTATAACTTGTCATGTGTAGAAAATAATTACGCGCCTGCTTTCATAAAATTTAATCACATACAAAGGAAATAAATTTTATATTAAGTCAGTTTAAAGAGAAATTATGTAATGGAGATACTAAAATTACGTGTTATTTTTCAATACTACCATTTGTTGAAAACGTATTTTAAGAATTAAAAAAAATGGTGTAAAAATCCAACCAAAAAGTTGTAAATATTTTTGTAAGCCATGTATAAAAACCCTTCATTTTTATACCTCCTTCTATAGGATTTAAGGATTTTTTTTTAAGACAGGTGCCAAAAATCGGCCATTTTAATTTTTATAATTTTCATATATCCAATATCACTCTCACAATTTAGACGAATCTTACGACACTTCTCAAGCTAAAATCCGTTAAGCCGTTTATGCTACAAAGCGTGCCAAAGAAATACACATACATACATACACTCCAAAAACATAACCCTTCTTTTGGCGCAGTCAGGTAAAAAGCATAACATTTTATCACTCTATTTTCTGTCTTGTGCTTTTTGTCCGAATTTAGAACTCACTGAGAGTCCTGTCAGTGAATTTTAAATTCGACAATTAAGACACTCACTTGAGTCTTCTCAAGATTAAGATGAATGTGAAGAGCTTTGTTACGAGATTGTAACAAACAAGTCGTGCCACGGGTAAATGCTAGTTAGTTTTGAACTTATTACTATAAATGCGAAAATGTGTATGTTCGTGTATTTGTTACTTCTTTATACTTTCAACTGCCTCGGTGGTGCAGTGGCTAGCATGTACGGCTGCACACCCGGAGGTCCTGGGTTCGAGTACCGGATCGAGGCAAGTTTAGTTATTGAGTCTTTCCGTATAAGAAGCCGCAGTAACAGCCCGGAGTTGGGAAGTTCGCGGTGATTCACCCCGTGCCTCGGAGAGCACGTAAAGCCATTAGTCCTGCGCCTTAACTCTCACTGGTCGTGTCGCGTCGTCCCACCGGAGTATGAGAGTGACAGGAATAGATAGTGCACTTGTGTCTGCGCGTACACTTGTGCAATATAATATCTCCTGCGCAGGTGGCTAGTCTCAATGAGATTAGCCGCCGTGACCGGGGACGGTCAGGAGGACATTGTACTCGTACATGCTAGACGAATTTGAATGTTTAGTATGCACAGACAACGAGCTGTAGTAACACATAAGGTACTTTTACTCACCTAGGGATACACCAAAGCGTGGTGAGCTTAAGTCTGAAAAAAGGCATTTATAAACTCGCATACATACACGATTTTGTTTAGAAGTAATTTTTAAAATTATATCATTCTTTTTGTACTTTCCTAACCATTTCTTTTTTGTTCCAGGCGTGGTTTTCGATCAGCACTCCGATGAAATTCAAGAGGCCTTTAAGTTTGCTATGTCACAGTTTTCCAATGGCATAAATAAAACTCGGCTTGACTTTCAACTATTCGTTGATGTAATCAATACAGCAGATGCATTTAAGCTCTCCAGGCTGAGTGAGTATAAACATTTTTTTTCCTATATTTTTCAACTAAGGAATATCTTACGTAATAGGGAATATGTGTATATTTATATAATATCTAACATCGCTATATAATTGTAAAAAAATATCCAGCTCCAAAAAACTAAAAAATAGTAAAAAAATTCCTACCGATAGGAATACTTTACAGGCTAGCCATTTCACGCGCTTGACGTGACGTCAAAGTGTATCATCATACACAGAAAAATGACTACTTTTGCGTAATCAATTTATAGCGGCTAAATCGCTAATCGCTCTGTTATGATATACTCTGCCGTCATATTCGGTCTGACCAATGGCGTTACGTTTTAACCACTTTGAAATTCCCACCTATATTTGCATTTTTTCATAATTATTTTATTAATCAAAAAGAAATTAGATTAAAATATATTCATATAGGCTTAATTTAAAAGCAATACAGATTATAAAAGAAAAAACATTTCATCTTTATTTAAATCACACGCATATTCCCTATTATTTTCTATCTTCTTCTAGTTTTAAAATCTTAGTACAATTTCAACACGTTACACGAAAAATTTTCATCATATTTACGTTTTAAATGGACCATTTGTGGACCGTAAACTGAGATACAGCTTTATTTAATACCGATATTAAAAGATCAGTAGAAAACTGTCTTTTTAACGCGAAGGATTATAGAAAAATCTAAAAATTGCAGTTAAAATTTGAAGTTCCGCTTCATTCTAATAAACAGCTAAGTTTCTTAAATGTTAAAGGATTGAAGGCAAAAGTTTATATTTAATTAAAATTACTTAATACATGATTAATAATTATACTCGTAGTCTAATATAAGTTTGATAACTATAAAAACACGTAAAATTACTAATAATCAATTTGTTGCAAGTGACCATACAACTATTATTTAATATCTAAATCAAAATCTATACTAAAATAAAAATGTAGAGGTCGAATGTCTGTACATAGAAAAAAAATGCTAAAAACCGAGTCAGGGAGACGTAAGGAGACAAGTAGAACAAATCCAGATTTTTTTTCAATTTTTTTGTTTCTCTGTCTGTTTTTCTGTTTGTACGGGCTAATCTCCGAATCTATCGGACTGATTTAAATGAAATTTTGCACGGTGTTACCTTATATCCCCGGTCAACATCTTAGATACTTATTATCCCGGAAAATTAAAGAGTTCCCGTGGGACAGTCAGAAAACTATAGTAACTTATACAGCTTAGTACACAACAACTTATGCACCGAATTAAGTAAAATTTGGCATGGTGACACTATATTGCCGGTCAAACAATATGTTACTTTTTATCCCGGAAAACGAATGGTTCCCGTGGGATAGATCTGTCTGTGGCGAACCCGAGCGAAGCGAGGGTAAGCCGCTAGTATTCAATAAAGTAACTTTACATTATGAAGTAATCATGAAGAAACTACTCTAAAATATTATATTTCCCATATAATTCTTGATTTCAAACCTCTCTTTATTTGAAAATGTATGGCGACATAACGAACAATGCTTGCAAGTGGGTATAGTTTTTAAAATACGCCTTAGGTACAATACAGTACGAATAGAACAAAAGACGGAAAATCAACAGCTCGCGATTATTTGCCCAGATAAAGAATATAGTACACGTATTTATTTTACGCTTCAATGTGAATTTAAAAATATAACATTGTAAGTGTATACGTAACGGGTAATGCTAGAAGATTAAGTAAACCTAGGTTTACCCGTATTTACTTAGAATCACCCAAGGTTCTTGGGTAAAGTTCGAATAATAAATTAAATAAGTTTTTATTTGGGATTTACCCACATACACCTAGGTCTACCCAACACTGGTTGGGTAATGTGAGATGATGCTTCATTTTTAATCACGAGGCACAAAGAACGTGGGCTCATGATGTTCCCCGCGCCGATCACTCAGCTTTTATTTTTTGGTAGAAACCTTTCTTTCTTTCTAGGTTGGTTAGGTTAGGGTAGAACATTTTTATTTACACTAATTATTCTAACACTACCCAGCCAGTGTTGGATAAACCTAGGTGTGTTTGGTTAAATACCGAATAAAATATTACTTCAATTATTATTCGGGTTTTACCCAAAAACCTTGGGTGATTCTAAGTAAAACCGGGTAAACCTAGGTTTACTTAATCTTCTAGCATTACCCGTAACATATACACTAAGACGTTGTCTTGATTTTCATTAAATTAAATCTTTTAGAATTTGCTAAAATTTCAGCTTATTTTGTATGACATTGTATTGAAAAGGTACTTAATATGAAAGTATAAGAATTTAGTTTAGAAAAGTCTTCTTGCATTTATTCAAATTCATTATAATAACATACTTAATCCATACCAATATTATAAATGTGAAAGTGTGTTTATTTGTTTGTTTGTTTGTCCTGCTTCCACGTCAAAACAGGATGACGGATTGTCGTGATTTTTTTTATGGAGATGGTGGACATAAGCTACTTTTTACCCCGGGAAAATGTCTCATTCCCTCGGAAAACACGTTACAATTAACCCGCAACAACTCATTATACCTGCCTATGATCTGGCATCTTGCCAGTTTTTGTATGAAGACTGACAAACCAAAATTCGCCTTTATTAGTAACGCAAAAAAAATCAAGCTCTAAAATCCAATTCTAACGTATTAAGCTTGTTAATTTAAACAACAAAGTATTTACTATAAGCCGTTGTAAAGTCCCATTATCCACCCTCTGGCATTGCCATCAGATCAGTTTGAAGATACCAAATCACTGCTCTATCAACGCGAATACAAACACCTGCAAAGTTTCAAGTCAATATGACAATTAGAAATAGGTTAAATATTCATGAGTTAGTTTTCCACTCCTTGGGATGGTATTTTTTTTTATTTAAATGGAACCAAACTGACAATAAACTTTTAACCAAAAAAAGAATTTTCCGAATCAATCAGTAAATGACGGAGTTCTGAAGTAACAAACATGAAAACATACAACCTAATTGAGAACCTCCTCTTTTTTTGAAGTCGGTTGAAAGTATATCTTCAAAATACATCTATTGCTTTTCAAGACCAACACCAAGTGTTCCGAAGAAGTTTGGACAGAGGTCAGCCGACAGCTGTCGTTTAGTCTAAAACAAAAGATCATATTTTATAAAGGGATCGGTGCTATATTTAATACAGATAAATAAAACTGAATTGTCTGTTTGTTATGCCAGAATAACAGTTTCTTATTTAATGCAAATGAAGTTTATATATTTACTTACGTACTTAGAAGAAACACAATTTAAAAAAAAAATTCTGTCCCTTTGTTCCGGCTAATCTCCGAAACGGCAGAACTGATTTTGATAGGACTTTCACAGGCAGATAGTTAATATTATAAGGAGTAACTTAGCCTACTTTTATTTTAGAAAAAGATTTAGGATTATGCTCAAAAATTTAAATGTATGTTAGTCGCTAGTACCTATAAAATAACATAGCACATTTAGAAGTATTGTGAATTCTAATGTTCAAAGTAAAGTTCAATTTTTGACCGACTCAAAAAGGGGACGGTGGTCATTTTGGTATATATTTTTTTGTTAGTAGTAAGTAAAAAATGATCAACACAATACGTTTTGATCATTTTTTTTAATTTTATTCGAATTGTAATGGTCAAATATTCTACTTGTATAATATAAAAAATAAATATAATTCAGCAAAAAAAACCGTTCAGTATCTTTTTCTCGTCTGTTTGTCAACGGATTTTCTTTTTTTAACCGACTGCGGCGAAATTCTCTTGAGGGTTATTTGTTTGACCTGTATGTATGTTTCTCCGATTCCATATTCCCTCGTAATTACGGCTTTACTGATTGAAACAATTGTGAGAATATTTAAAATACGATGCAAATTATATTTATTTGTAATTCCTCTGCGATGGATAGTTATAATCCATTTATTTATTATACTTAGCTTAATAATACACCCAAACGTGATTTACAGCGAACTTTGTGAAACAACTCGATTAAAGGCTCTTTTACGCAATTTACGTCAAAAACTTTAAATTATGGCATTAAATTTTGCTTTCGGCCATCAAGCTTGAAGAAGTGAAAGTAAATAATTTTATATATAAAGGTTAATAAAATTTGATTTTATAAAATTGGTTATTTTGTTTTCATTGATGATCATATTTTTATATTAAAACTGTCATAGAGGATGTTGATTTATCCCTATATAGATGACTTTCAAGCAAGTTTGGATCAATAAAATAAAAGCTTTGAAAAAATGGAATAGGAAACACTCAGTCTGTAAAAATGAGGGGTTTTTTTAATAATCGTAGCATAAAAAATGTATAACTTGAACACCTCCAGGTAAATTTCTAAGACATCTATTGTTAACTGTAATGCCGGCGTGACCGCGGTCGTGAAGGGATTAAATTATCATGTTCTTATAACCAATAAAAATCTATGCCCAGCCCACGATACAAGAAAATATTATTAGAAAAGGCAAAAATATAGGCTTAGCACACTATATTAAATAATCAATAGATGGAAAACATTCTATAGAATATCTGGGTTTCCATATATTTTGTGACATATTATGTATGAAACCATGACCAATATAGTGAATAAAACCCATAGAAACTAGTTCATGTATCGATAAAAACCATCATGACTACTTTCTGACTCATAAACCATCTTTGTGCAATAAATCACTTTCATTCATACAAACTAATAAACCGCCCTTCGATTCTCCATACAAACTTTCATCCCCATTTTCTCCCCCTTAAGAAATGATTTCCGGGACAAAAACAATTCTATGTCCTTTCCAGGGTCTCAAACTATCTTTTTACAAAATTTCATCTAAATCGGTTCAGTAGTTCCAGAGATTACTTCCTACAAACAAACTCACAAACTATCAAACTTTACCTCTTTATAATATTAGTATAATAAACAGACATACATTCATATTAGTGAGTATATCGAAGAAAGTCTTCGGAATAAAATAATTTAAATATAAAATAAAATACTGAAACATCTATAAATAGTGATC